GGCGGGAGGTGAGGGTTTCTTTTGAAATTCCTTTATGTGTCTTGTTCTGCGCTTTCTATACGCATTTAAAATATTCGTCTGCTGTCGGAGCAGCGCAGGCGGTGGCTGCAGCCTGGGGTCGCACCCTGACCCGTTGTGCGTCGCAAGGTATGCTCAGAAGGCTTTAATTTCAAGTTTTGACATGCTACATGCGGTAGATTTTTAATCTGTTGAAGCCGGAGACCTACAGTATTGTTTAGAGAGCCTTCCTTGCACAGTTTTGGGTAGTCCCACTCTCAAGGGCTGTTAAATGTTTGTGAAATTAAGATAAGGCCCCCGCTGCACACCCAGCCCAACATCTACTCCGATCCACCTCCTCAGGACAGAGTGGAAATTCCACCTTCTGCTGGAAAATAGGGAGAAAAATACTGCCGCCCCCACAGGCCGCTGTCATCCCATCAGGAATATGACTCTGCGTGCTTTGGGGGTAACTCCTAGCCTTTACTCTGACTGAAGGCAGACATTGTGTCATGTCTTTGAGGTGACTTTGAGGTAGCTTCCTACTTTCTTTAGGCTCCATTTCAAGGGATTGATGCAGGCTGGTGTTGCTGTTGGTGTAGTTTGGGCTCAGACTCATCTTGAAAGGTTGCAACCTGCTGTTCGGAGAAGAAGGTGTGACTTTGGATTTATTTTTTCTCCATGTTAGCCCAACAGCTTATGTATATTTTTTGAGGGTTTCAGCCTTCTTCCTGGGAAAGATGACTTTTTAATGAGATTAATATGTGCGTTACTATCTGTTGTAGTTGCTTAGCTTGTGTGGCATATGCATACAAGACCAACTGTGAGGTGCTATCATCCAAGACCTTCTGCTCCGTTTGTGGTCGGTAGTGTGGGCTGCATTCGTGCCAGTTCCTACCAGAGTAGCTCAAACGAGGTGCAGGGTTATCCCATCCTGAACTTATTTGCAGTTTCCAGGAGAGAGCGGTTCATGACAATTAGAGCCAGAGAAAGAGGTGATCAAAATCCACTCCACACCTGGCTGCAGGAGTTAAATTTGGTACAACATATCTGTAAGTTATGCTTTCATGGCAACAAGGCATTTCCCAGGATGTGTAATGCAATGATTTCTGGTAAAGACCTTGCTTATAACAGGCTGTCCCAAAGCAAGTGTGTGGCTTGCAGCTAATTGTAGGTACAGTGGGCAACCAGTGTGCTCTCTGTTCTCAGTGGTCATGTTAAATTATAAAGAAAATAGGTTTGCATTGGATGAGCAGAGTAAAAGAGGCTAGATAATTTGCTTCAGTAGCCAGTGCTGCAATGGATACATCTGATATTGTACTGTTGTGTCACTTCTATAATGCAGATTTTATTTGGATGCTGTCAGGAATACAGTCTTTCATAAATACTAGTGCAGACAGGTTCCTCAAAACTGTCACATCACTTCTGTTCCCCTTTTCCCTCCATGTAATCACTCACTCAGCACCGCTAATGATAAGAGTTGAGGGGGTCTCAATCTGGAAAGCTGGGAATGCCAAAAGTTAAATTTTTTGTTCTCCTGCACTGCAGAAGCAAACTCCACTAGGTCATGGCTTGAGTAGGAGAGACAAGGCAGTGTTTAATGTCAGATAGTTGTCACTGGTCTGGAAATTCAGAAATCTTGTGTATGCCTCTATTCAAATCTTTAAGGAAAGCAGGTAAGGTTTTTGGTTTGGTTTGTTTTTTTTTCCTTTTTAAGCATGGCTTGCAGTCTGCTTGCAGAACTAGTCTCTGAACTGGAAACTGAATTATGTCGTTAAGTGTAGCTATTTCTTAATGTCGTGTTAATGCTCAGCTTGTGGGAACTCTGTACTGCCTGTCTGCAGAAAACACTCCCCATTTATTAAAACAAGTCGATGCTCTGTGATTAAGTCACAGTCCACGGGCGTCCATGCTGTGCTTGGCACTTACCCTTTCTCTCTGTCCCTCCCCAACCCGTTCCTCTCTCTGCCAGTCAGGTTTGCTGCTGCTGCGGAAATGGGGGAGTACGGAGTCGCACCAGGCCAGCGTGTGGCCATCATCTGGGACAGCTCCTCACCAGTTGAAGCCCTGAAGGATTTGGTGGATAAAATTCAAGCACTGGTGGGAGCTGATAGTCGTGTCTCTGTGGAGAATGTTAACCAGCTGTTTCAGTGTAAGAATGAGCTTAATTTTTTCACTGTTTTGTTTAGAGGGAGAGTGTGCTTCTGCTGCGTGAGCTGGCACCTTCCCTGCTTTGTAAGCCAGCATTACAGCAGTAGCACCTACTGCTAAGTCTTACCACTGGCAGTAGGGCAAAGAAATTATATACTCTGGTCATGCTTCCTGTGATTGGTGTCTTTAACCAGTTATTGCTGTTGTATGCAAGCATGAGAGATGAGGAGGGAGGTGGAACAGATGTATTAAGCAAAGCTCTGTGTGTGTATGTCTAGAGTTGTACCATCTTGCTCTTTCTTTCTTTTCAGCTGCTCACAGGGAGTCCAGTTTTGATGTTGTTCTCTCTGGTGTGGTACCAGGCAGTACTGCACAGCACAGTGCAGAGGTACTGGCAGAAATAGCTCGGATACTTAAGCCAGGTGGCCGTGTTCTCCTGAAAGAACCAGTGGTTACAGAATCAGGTGAGAGAATCCTTATCAGCCTTGCTTTCATGGCAATGTAGCAATTCTTGTGAGGATTAGGCTGAAATGGAAGGACAGGAACCCTGACTGACGTTCAGAGATTTTTCATTCTACTGACACACTAGCCTGAATAGCAAGATTTTTATCCTGTGTTTTAGCTGGTAGCCGTCAGAGCTGTTTGCAGTCACTCTCCTTCTATAAAAAGTGCTGGATATGCTTGTTCCTAAACTACACTGAAAAGCTGGGTGGACATTGGTGTTCTCCTAGGGTGCCTAATGTTAAATAGTTGCAGATGTTGTGCTTCTGAAGTGATTTTAAAGGCAGATGGCAAAAGGTGAGAGAAGCTGTCCCAGCAGCCAGATGAGAAATAGTTGTCCAGAAAAGGTAGAAGTGTTTGGACTAAGTTTTAAAGTAAAGCCAGAGCACCTGCCATGAGACAGCTGGAGGAGCACTTAAGGTGGTGAACACAAGATTACTGCTCTGTCTTATACATGACCTGCATTCAAACCTTGCTGGTGTGGGCATCTGGTTCAGTCTGGAAGTGGGAGATAATATGCCCCCTGATAAGAACAAAAGCACCTTTGCTGATGGTGTTTCTGTTGGCACAACTTACAGCAGTGAAAATGGTGGTGTAAGTGGCAGCAAAAACGCCTTCTTCAGCTTGGGAAGATTTGCCAACGTTTTGAAGCTGGCAGTCTCTCAGTGTTGCAAGTGGTACCTTACAGGCAGGGGGAACATTTCTGGGACGGAACGAAGAACATGCAAAGTCTGGAGTAGATGAGGTTTCTCTTTTCCAAAGTCACATCTGGCAGGCTGGCATTAGGTGAACTTGGAATAAAGTGCAATTAGGACTAGCAAGAGATGGTAAATGGATTCTGTTCAGCACAATCCTGTGCCCAAGAGAAGAAGCCTGTAATGAATTTTTGATTAACAGTGATTGTAATAGCTTTTGCCTATGAGAACAAGGCTCTTGAGTGTTAGGTTTCTGAATGTAATGTTCATTTGGGAGTCCATGTTTTGAAAACTTCATGAGTTGTTCACCTTAATATGTGAAAATATTTTGGGGGATTTTGTTGTTTGGTTTTTGGGGTGAGTTTTTGTTTCCTTTTTTTTGGTGGGTGTAAATTGGGTTGACAAAGGTTTTGGCATATATAGGACAGATCTAGAGCTGGAACAGCTTTGTGACCCCAGGCTGTTATTTTCATAAACAAGCTGCTTGTGCTCTTTCTGGCTCCATTTTAAAGCAGGGCTTTGGGTTGAGCACTTCTTTCTAAAGCTCTTACTCTTCCATGTTTCTCGGTGACCTCTATTCTTGTTCTTCCTTCCTTCTACATCCTGCTTTCATGTTTTCCAGGAAACAACAGCAGGATCAAGACAGCAGCCAAACTCCCCACAGCTCTGACTCTCTCTGGGTTGGTGGAAGTGAAGGAGGTATGTACACACTAACTGTTTCCAGAAGCTCCCTCCTGCAGTCACCTAGAAATGTAGATGGCAATTCCTGGGGATTTGCTGGGTGACAAGGTGTTTAGCTACCTTGATTTACTGTAAATGTGCACGGACACTGCCTGCCACAAACTTTAGTTACTGCATAGGTAGTGTTTTTCTTTAGAATTGAAAATAGTTGCTGGCTGTGTTCACTGGAACATTGGCACTGGATGCTGAAATAAGAGAGTTTGCGTGAGATTAACCTAAAAATCTTACATTGCAGCTGCAAAAGGAAGCATTGACCCCAGAGGAGGCCCAGTCGGTCCGAGAGCATCTGGGTTACCAAGGCAATGACCTTCTCATTGTCCAGGTAGAAGGCAAGAAGCCAAATTTCGAAGTGGGATCCTCAAGTCAGCTCAAACTTTCCTTTGCCAAGCAGCCTGGTCCTTCAGGTAGGGAGTGGTGCGTGCTAAAGGTCTGGATTGCCTGCCTCTCGGGGGACAAGCATCTGAATAGGGAAACAGCTCTGGGGTAGGGAGTCCTACAGTAAAAACCTGTGAAGTGGGGCTTTCCAAGGTTGTTTGTACTCTGTTGGGAGTAGATGGAGTAAAGGCTGGAGTAACTACTATTTCTTCCTTTGTTTTGGCTCCAGGAAAGCCCTCTGTGGACCCAGCCACTGCCAAGCTGTGGACGCTCTCTGCCAATGACATGGACGATGAAGAGATGGTATCTGGTCTTGTTTGTGAGGCTTTGCTGTTGTTCCTTCTCTCTCCTCTCCTCTCCTTTCCTACTCTAAATAGCTTCAGTCATGCCTCTTGGGAAGCTTTTCAACTTAAGAGGTAGAAAAGAATCCACAGGGCAAAATATCTCATCTACTGTGTGAGGTCTTGAGAGCCCAGGGGTGTGGTGAGGGGGCAGAGGGGACATGGATAAGATGGCACAGCTGCAGCACTTTCATGCTGGCATTTCTTCAAACATAACACAGCAATGTCATTCCCTACTGACAAATCAATTTCCTGCATGTTATTTTCCATGTTTCCTGTATATTTTCAGGATCTTTTGGACTCCGATGAGCTGTTGGATTCAGAGGATTTGAAAAAGCCAGATCCATCATCCCTCAAAGCTCTGTCCTGCAAAGAAATGGGCAAAAAGAAAGCCTGCAAGAATTGGTCAGTGCTGGGTTTAGCATTGGTGAACCTTTTAACTGTAACATTAAACGGATGGATTTTTAAAAGATTGTAGACCCTTCAGAGCATAATTCTCTTAGTTCATGTCCTTTCTTATCTTAACTATTTGAATATAAATCCAAATACAATGAAAATTAACCACACCAAAGCTGCTACAAATTACCACACTGGTATAATCAACAGTCTTGAAGGTGAAGGCACGTTTTGTGCAGCCTTGGCTAAAGCCCTGTTTTCTCAGATTTCAAGGAGAAATAGCACACATGACAAGTGCTGTAGAGTCATTTCTCACTCAGTTTTAACTTGAGGAGTGTGTTTCAACACTTTTTGTACCAACCATGGTGTTGAGGAACAAAATGAAGAGCATGAGAGTCCTGGAGTCAGCTGGGTCGTGTGACAGAGCGAGAGCTGTTGCGTGTGAGTAGGGCTCAAACAAGTGTTGGTGACTCACAACCTTTAGGCAGAAATATGCAGGTGACTTCTTTATTCTTCTACAGCACGTGTGGCCTGGCTGAAGAGCTGGAACAGGAGAAGAAGAGCTCGCAGCCCAAATCTGCCTGTGGAAATGTAAATAGTCATTTTTGTTTCTATACTGTGGTTTGCAGTAGATGATTTGTGTCTTAAGAACTGTGTTCTCTAGTGACTGCTCCCCAAGCTGGCTTACTGCTTCCAAACACTGCTTGTGCAGCTTCTGCAGAGCTCCAGCCTGTTGTCCTGTGCCCACTTGCTCTGTTCCAGTGCAAGTGCTGCCCTTGTAGGAGTGAGCAGCAAACCTTTACCTCCCCACGCACATGCTAACCGGTGATCTGCTCCAGGAAGATCACTTTACGGGAGCACAAGGGGACCTTGTGGTGGTCAGGGTGCTGCCCTGCTAACCGTGCTAACCAGACATGGGTTGAGAGCTGAGAGACGGGAAGCGGTTTCTGTGCTGATGCAGGCTGAGGAGTGTGTCACCTCTTAAGCTAGAAAAACTGTATCACAGGGGGAGAGAACTGAAAGTTGCCCCTGATGACCACAGGTGCTTGTCTTCCTCTTGTCAGTGCTATCTGGGGGATGCGTTCCGCTGTGCCAGCTGCCCTTACCTGGGGATGCCAGCCTTCAAGCCTGGAGAGAAGATTCTCCTGAAAGAGAACCAGCTGCATGATGCCTAATGAAGATGCCTCTGGATGTCCTGTAAAGGACTCCTCTGCTTTTCCATCAGTCTGAGGTTCTTCCTGAAGTCCTCCTCATCCTCTCAAGCTCATTCTCTCCAGCCAATAGACCTTCTGGGAAGGGACACTGTGGGCACTGGCACTGCTGTGAGCTCATCTCTTGTAATCAACCTTGGGCTACTTGATAATCTTTGGTGACAAGTGGTCTCCTATGTATTAGACTTCATGATATGCCTTGTTTTAGCTGGCTTGACTTGATATTGGAACGCTGGCCATCACAGCATGTCCCGCCAGCAGAGGGAAGTAGAATCAAGTGTTAGGTTGACCTCATGTGCTTGTGGCAGGACTGGTGCTTCCTCATGCCCATGTCCTACACCTCTAATTTGCCCTGATTTTCTCTGATGAATCAGCAGCTCTGGCTCTGCTTTCAAGGTGACACTGGGCTCCTTCTCTCTCTGAAACCTGAACCTGTAGTTCCTTACCACATGAAGGTGGCTCAGTAGCTTCCGTTGCAAGTCAGGAGCAGTGAGTACACTCAGCAGTCTGTTTTCTTAGCATCAGTGAAGTCTGGCAGGCGTGATGAATTTCCAAGTGTTTTGGGAGTCAGCCCATGGTATCCCCTGCCCCCACCTATTTCCATGAAAATGACAAAGATTCCATCCTACTGAGAAAGTGAGAAAGCTCCTGCCCTTAAGGCAGGGAGCAAATCAAACAAGGTCTGTCCTGTCCTCCCACACCTTTCTGTCCAACAGGAGCTGATAGCACAAGGGCCATCTGAGACTGTCGCCTCTTGGTGATTACCAAGTGAGTTACCTGCAGTGTCCAATAAGTAAAAACATAGCAATAACTTAATTTCTAGATAATCTGTGGTCACCATCTGTTCCCACTCCATGAGATACTTTATTTATTTGCGTAATTAGTGCTAGTGAGGCATCTGCGCAGATGCAGGATGAGGGAGCTGTTTGCCTTCTGTGCCAGACTTGCTTCTCACCCCAGGAGGGAGAGGAGGAAAGCCCAAAGCCAGTGTCTTCGGCAGGGATTGCTCTGTTTGGAGCTCTTGCTCTATGGGATGTGACTGCTTCTTGTTGTGCTACCAGAGTTAGGCACTGAATTTGCATGGGGGAGCTGGGATAAAAGGCTGTTCTGTTCTTGAAATAAAAGTGACCAACAGCAAAGCATTTAAGACTGGTATCAGTGGCATTCTAAGCACATCTCTCCTTTTTCTCAGCCTCTCAGTGATTTCTGGAACCATTTAAATCTTGGGTTGCATCTTGGAGTTCTCCATAAATTGTTCCACTGAAAACATGACTCAAGTATGTGGTGCCCTGACTCAAGTATGTGGTGCCTACTGGAAAGAACAGAATCAAGCTGCTTAAATTAACTTTTTTATTTGGTCTAGATTTCAGAAAGAGGCCTTCTCCTGGTTGAGTGGGGAGAAGGCGGCCTGCAGGGAGCGAGGGGAGGGAAGTCCCTGAGGTGTGCAAAGCAGGTTGTGTGGTACTTTGTGGGAGCCAGAGGGGAATATGAGGGGCTGGTGGCAATGGAGACCTCTGAGAACTTGTATTTAGAGGGACAGCTGCCCTCCAGCAAGATCATGGATTTCCCAGACCCCTTCCTCACCCAAGTCCCTGCCTCTGTCATCAGCAAGAACTCCAAAGGAGATGAGCATCTTGCAATGAACCTCCTGTCCACTCCCGTCTTAGGAAATGCACACCTATGACCTTTGGGGATTTTACTGCCTGTTTTCAGCCTCACTGTTGGCAGAAGATAGATCTCTGCATGTCTCCATGTGAAGGGTCCCTGATGAAGACAGCCCTTAACCTGAACTCAGCTTTCCTTTCAGGAGTAAATAAGATAAGAGAAGGAGGAGGAAGCAGCAGAAGCTTTTGTTTTACAGTGATTCACTCAACTGGAATTTAAACAAGCTGGAAGCACTTTCAGATACTGCTAAGTTCAGTTAATGATGGTTAAAACTGTACAATCTTGTTCTCTTTAAACTGTGTAACTCGCTCTTGCTGTGGGAGAGGCCCTCAAAGGGTGAGAGTTTGGCAGCGGAGCATCAGCTGGGTGGGAATATGCTCCTGCCAGGCTGAGTTTGAGGAGCGTTTGTCCCTTAACCCCCCTTCCCTTGTCTGCTACAGCCTCCAGCCACCCTGCCTGCCCCCTCTTCCTTCTCCCGCCCCCAGTTCTTGTGTCTGACCATCCACCCTGCACCTGGAAGGTGGCACTTGTCCCTGTGGAGGGAGCAGGCTGAGGCTGTGCCTAGAATAGAACAGAGTATTTCAGTTGGAAGGTACCTACAGCGATATCTGCCTGACCAATTCAGGGCTGACCAAGATAAAGCATGTTATTAAGGGTATTGTCCAGATGCCTTTTAAACCCTGCCAGGCTTGAGATACCCACTGCCTCTCCAGAAGCCTGTTCCCAGTGCTTTACCACCTTCTTGGTAAAGAAATGCTTCTTCATGTCCAGTCTGAACCTCTCCTGGCGCAGCTTTGAACCATTCATGCTCATCCTGTCACTAGATCCCAGGGAGAAGAGTTGGACACCTCCCTCTCACTGCTGTGATGGTGGGAAGGGGCTGAAAGGACTCACTGAAGTAGGATTAACTGAATCAGCAGACACAGTTCAGGTCCCCATGTGCTGTTGAGCCAGCTCTGCAATGGCAATTCTGTGGGGGTCCCCAGTGGGCAGACGTGCCTTGCAGCAGAGTTATGTCGCTGTGACTTCATTTTCAGTGAAGCTTCCCTGATTTTTCTCCCAGCAGCTGACCTATTCCCGTGTTCCTCTGAACTCCTTGCTGCTGCCCTCTCTCCGAATGACCTGGGTTGGAAACACAGGGCCGGGTAGGGCCTGTGGGGAGTGCGGGACTGACCTGCGTGCTCACCTCTTACACATGGCTGCTGAGAGCACAGAGGGATAAAAATCACAGCGCTCTGTGGCAGGGAGCGAGCTGTGCACCCCTGTGTGTGCTGGACCTGGGCCATACTTATTTATGCTAAACAACCATCCCTCAACACTGGGATGTTTATGGCTGGACTCGATGATCCTGAGGGTCTCTTCCAGCCTAGATAATTCTGTGATTCTGTGATGTTCTCTTGCACAACTTCAACTGTGAGCTGTGGAGCTCAGCACTGGCATGCTCACCTGCTTTTCTCCCCATGAATTTGAGCCGCTGCTTTTCTTCCTGCTGGGAAAAGCATGGCCCACCTTGGTGGCCTTCAGAGGGCCATGGGTGCAAAGACCAGGAAGTTCTTCGCTGCATCTTTGCAGCTTGCTTTACATGTGCTACTTTGCTCTTAATTAAACACGATGTCTGCTTGTAACCTTCCCTTCTGGAGAAATTGGGTCTCCTGGATGAGGAGGAGATGCTCTGCGAGATGGGGAGGGAGGTGTGCCCTCTGCAGAGCAGGAAATAAACCTCTCCCCGGGCCTGGCCCTGACGTCTCCGAGAGCTTTGGAGGTGTCAAAGTCCAATGAACTTGCCAGCAGAAATTTGATTAATCACCCAACGAATTACCTGCTCTTTTTCCCACAGCAAAGTGAGGCTGGTGCCTTCCTCAGCCCAAGCCATTTTCCTCCCTCAGTGTCTTCCCTTCTGACTCTTTCGGTCTCTCCTTCTCTTTCTCCACTCCGCTTCCTTTCACCTCTCTCCTTCTGTTCTTCTTTCTCTAATTCTCTTCTGTTTTCTCTCTTCTCCTTGCTGGCCTCTTCTCTTTTTCACGCCATCCATCTATACTACAGTCCTTTCCCCCCCCGCCACCCTCACCATCCCCAACCTTCCCCATTCCTCTTCTTCTGCTCCTTGCCTTATTTTTCCTTTTTCCCTTTGGTCTTTCTGGGTTTTCCCAGAAAGGGAAACATCCCTGTTCTTTCCCCCGTGGATTCCTGCTGCTTTTCCACTGGGCAGGGAGCACAGGGGAGGCCAAGTCTCTCCTGTGTGCTCAAGACCTTGTGTTCTGCGGGAGGTTCACTTGAGGAGCATGTAGGAACAGGGCTGGCAGTGACCGTAGCACTGAGGAGTTGTCCACCAGCGCCCAACATCACCGTGACATCGGGTGTGAAGCTTAGGGACCACATCGGGCAGCAGCACGTATGCATTTGGGGCAAGGAGGGCATTGTGTTTATTATCATTTTATCTTCACACGTTTCCTTAACCACTTGTGATAAGATCTTTCTGAGAACTGAAGCTCGGAGGCTCAGCTCTGGCTGAACTGCTTCACGTTTTTAAAAATAGTCAATGGACAAAAATGCCGTTCCCACCCTTCCTGCGCATGATTGTAAAAGCCACTGAGATCTTGAGAGATTGTCCCAGCTAGTTCCTTAAGCAACCCTGCCTGCGTTTCCTCACCTCCTGCTCACTCGTGAAACTGCTCCAAGGCAACTCCACGGCTTCTTTCCTGGTACCTTGTGCTAGGTCCCTTGTTAAAAACGTTATCCCACATCTGACCCCCACTAACCTGGGGCGTAAGGGAGAATGCAAAAGCCACACTACGAACATCCCAACTTTCTCCACCTCACGGGTTACTGACCCTTTTGAGGTGAAGCAATAGGCCAAACTTTTACTTTTCCTTCCTCTTCTTTTTAAGGCAGTTGAGCAAATGCAGAGCCTTTCACAGCCCTCGTTATTCTTAACTCATATTGTACTTTAGTTTTCTGATTTTGCATCTGCAATTTAGTGATCATGTCATTCTACACATGTCCTTTGGGTTTTTCCTTTCCTCGTGGCCTTCTCTTGTGGCCAGTGGGATGCTGAAGAACTTATCTGCAGCTGTATTTGCTGCCTCTGAAGCTTTTTCTGTTGCCGCTGTAAGGGAGAACTGGCTGCCAAGGGTCTTAATACAAGTCCCAGGTGTCCTGCTCAGCTTTCTTAGAGTAATGAGCAGCCCATCTTAGTTGAGGTCGGCTTTTTTTTAACCCTTTTCTCCTTAAAATAACAACATTGGTCATTTCATGCTGTAGGAACATGAGAAGGGCTGTGCCCAAGGGCCACCCAGCTTGGCTAAATAGAATCATAGAATAATTCCAGTTGGAAAAGACCCTTAAGATCATTAAGCCCAACTGTTAACCCAGCACTGCTAAGTTACCACTAACTCATGTCCCAGCACCATGTCTGTCCGGCTTTTAAATCCCTCCAGGGATGGCAACTCCACCTCTTCCCTGGGCAGCCTGTTCCAGTGTTTGACAACCCTTTCAGTGAAGAAAATTTTCCCAATATCCATCCTAAACCTCCCCTGGCCCAACTTGAGGCCGTTCCCTCTTGTCCCATCGCCTGTGACTTGGGAGAAGAGACCAACACCCCCTGGCTACACCCTCCTTTCAGGGATTTGGAGAGAGGAAGAAGGTCTCCCCTCAGCCTCCTTTTCTCCAGGCTGAACACCCCCAGCTCCCTCTCCCAAGACTTGTGCTCCAGACCCCTCACCAGCTCCGTTGCCCTTCTCTGGACACACTCCAGCACCTCAGTGTCTTCCCTGTCGTGAGGGGCCCCAAACTAGACACAACACTTGAGGGTCTGCTTGCTCCCCCCAAATGTTGGGGTTTTTTTCCCCCCAATTTTCCCCTGTCTGTAGCCTTTGCCTGTGTCTTCCTGGCCATGTGTGACCCGAGCTTTGCCCCCAGGACACCCGGAGCTCCACCACCACTACTATGGGGATGTTTCCTACTGTCAGCTGCTCTGAAAACATGGGGAGATCAGAAAGACTCCAGGCCTTGCTGGCTATTCCTGATGGACTTCACCGAGTCTCCATCAGCAGTACGGCAGTGGACACACTAAGGGAGAAAACATCGCATTTTCTCTTTTCCTTTTAAAAAAAAAAAAAACAAATTACAGGAAAGCTCTACATGCATGAAGACACATGTCCACTCCTGGCATGAAGCAGATGCACATAGATCACTGCAGCAGCACCCACGTCACACCTCTGCGAAGCAAATTATACTGTTCCAGCCTTGCTCCTTCTGTTTCGAGCAAGTGAAACCAGAGCAAGGGCAACTCGTGTCACAACAGGTGCCTGCTCTGGAGAAAATCCAGACAACTGCTCCAGGGCTTTTGCAGCACCCAGAGGACCTTTCCATGGACACCCCACCCAGCATGTCCAGCACCAAGGGGACACCAAGTGCTTCCTGAACCATGGTGGCATCACTGAAACATGGAACAAGTTGCTAGAAGAGCCTGTTTATGAGCAGAGACCACAAAAGGAGTTGCTGAAGCTTGGTGGTGCCTGGGGCTGCGGGAAGGCAAGGGCAAGAATGGTTGGAAGAGCACTGTCCTTACCACAGGAGATGGCTTCTTCCAAGGGACTGTAAAGCACAGTGGTGCAGCCATTTGGGGATAAATAGGTGGCTTCAGTTGCCAAGATTGCACTTACATACAAACTAACACCTATTTTTTGGGGATGATGACCCTGACAAGGGCACACCAAGCTGCTCATCCCTCTTTTCTCCTTCATTTGCCCTCTCCCTCGGGGAACACATCCACTTCTGTGTTGGCAGCACCAGCATCCCCACCATCCCCACCACCCTGCTTTTGTTGCAGTGGTTTGATCTTGGTGTAAATGACGTCGGAGGAGGTGGGTTTTCTCTCCTTCTCAAACTTCAGGTTAGCGTAGGTCAGCTCTTCAGTCCCCGTCACTGGGGCTGCCTGCAAGGGAGACAGCAATGAGGAGCCGTGGCTTTACCTTCTCCATCTCCCCTGCCATTTTTTTGCCACTGGCACAACTATTTGCACTGCCCAAGCATTATCCAGCTTGCTCAGAGTGCCACCTATTCAGAAGGTTGTAAGCTCGAATTTAGTAGGAATTAATAAGCGTTCAGAACCATGTTCTCAGAAAGCAAAGCTGATTTTACTCTGAAATCCCTTAAATGGGTATTCAACAGCCAGTGGGGTTTTTTTGGTGGTTTTGGTTTTTTGGTTGGTTTTTTTTTGTTTTGTTTTTTTGGTTTTTTTACAGAGAGAAGGAAACAATACATGCAAAGTGCTCCCTGGCTTACCGTGCTGAGCTGATCCTCCTCCACCACTTGCATGGCTACAAGCTTTTCTGAAAAATGAAACGTAGTTTAAATAGTAGTTAAAATAATGATAATGACCATTAATTTAAATGAAGAAGACATCTGCATTCGTCCTGCTTTTGTTGCAGGAGAGGATGGGGCTCTGTGGCTGGCTGGCTCTGAAAATGGCCAAAGGGCAGGAGGGGTTAACAAGGATTTAAAAGCCCTTGGAGGGGCTGGAGAAGAGCTCTGAGCTGGACACTTCTGGAACTGTGGAGATGTGCAGGACCTGTTTCACTTGCACTATGGCTTCTGCTATAACTGAGCTCTCATCAGCAAATAGCCAGAGGGAAGGGAGGGGGTGAACCTTCTCCCCACCCCAGGACAGCTTGTCCAGGAGGACAGAATCATGCAGGGAACACCGAGTGATCAGGAGCAGTAGGATATTGAAGATGGACATCTTTAAAGCCTGGGCCTGTCCAGATCATCAGGTGAGGAGATGCCAAACAGCTGCCACAGGAGACAGAGACTCAGTGTGGGTTTACCCTTACCTTTTCTGTTCTTTTGGCACTGCCACAGCAGAATGCCAATTATCGGCATGTAAAGAAGCGTCCCAACTGCTAAACCGAAGAGGACACACAGCAGAAAGTTGAGTCCTGCACACACAAACATCACAGAGGCACTCGTGAGCCACCATCCCACCTCACAGAGACACCCGCTGCCGTTGCCTCTTCTGGGGGTTCTTTTTCCAAGCTTGGGCTTCCAGACCCCAAACCACCTGCAGCCCCCACAGCCCCAAGCTGATGACAAAATCCCACAGGGAACAGTCTCCAAAAACTCATCTGAACTCATCCAAATTCAGACAGGAATCTGCTTGGAGCATCAGAGCGTCTTCCCAGCATCACAGCCTTGATCAGTGCCTACCCCAGTTTGCCAGCAGCTCCCACCCACTCACCAGAAAACATCAGGATCTGTTTTCCCCCTTGCTGCTCATCTTTCTCTCCTTTCAGAGAGGTGCCCTTCTCGGTGACACTGTTCTGAGGTGCCTCAGTGCCACAGCCTGGAAAACAGAAACACAAGTGAGAGGCTGCCCAGAGCCAGAGGACACCCTGCTCCCCCCTCCACTTTGGGGCAAGGATCTGGAATCCACAGGCCTGGCTGTCCCGCTCCTACCACCTCAGCTGATGTGCCACAGGTGGAGCATGGGGCAGGCCCTGTTTCAAGGACCCGATGGCCAAACAGCTCCATGGTGGGATAAATCTGCCACAAGAGCCGTGCTGGGTCAGCCCCTCCAGTGCCCGGGATGCTTTCAGGGGAAATGGCAGGTGGTACTGCAGGGAGCATTCAGTGTAGCACCCTTCTCTGCCCACTCATCACCCCCACGAAAATGGAAGTGCTGCCACTTACTGGAAAGTGTCCCTTGCATGCCGTTTCCAGTGTCTGTCAAGTTTAATCTTGTGATGGACACTCTACACTCGCAGATTCTCATGTTGACTGCACACACGCTGGGACTGGTACAGTTTTTTCCTAGAGCCGTGGTGTGGGTTCGGTTCCCCACCTCTAGATCTGCAGGTTTGTACCACTTCACTGTGAGATTCTCCAACCAAATCTTGAACGTGCACTCCATGGTGGTGTCTGACTCTTCTGCCTGCCTGGCTGTCCTCAGAGGAAACAAAAATATAATCGGTAAGTGAAATGTAGGTCATACCTATGACCTTGCACGGGTCATATCCCCCTGGCACATGTCGCTTATGAAAGACACAGTGAAGTAACTGTCTCCTCCTCCAGCAGCTGATGCTGGTTCTCTCTTCCAAATCCAGCTGGATTAGGGAGGTGAGACAAGCATTTCTCTGTCTCAGAAGGGATTGAAAACATCAGAGGATCAGGAGGAAAACACCTCCTCCTCCTGCAACCTAGGCAGAAGGGTCTTCTGCCATCCAAGCAGGACGTGCCACCGTCTGGCTTCATCTCACCCCCCAATACTCACTCTGGAGTACTTCAGAATTGCTCCTGAACCTCTGAGTCACTTCACACCTGCTCAGCAGAGTTCTCCCTCCTTTCCCTCTCTCCTCTCCCTTCCTCAGTTCTTTCTCTACACTCCTGTGGGTGCTCCAGTCACCCGTGGGTGTTGGTGAGATTGTGGCTCTTACCATCCTTGTTCTCTTTGGAATCTCCATTCACAGACACGTTCCTTGTGTTCTCAATCCTGCATGTGTACGTTCCTGTATGTGCTTTGTTCACACTGGTGAAGACAAGCTGGAAGGAACTACTTTTCATTGCCACAGCACCTTTGCTCTGCTTTTCTCCATTGTTTGGGGTGGAATTAAAACACTTCACCTCCCCAGTGGTGGTGGTGGTTGAGTTTGTTTGGAGCAGGCACTGCAAGGCAAAATCTAACCCTACGGACACATTGATCATGGCTGAAACCTGGTAAGTGAGTCCTGCAATAAAAAACAACCGTGGAAGGCTGGGTTAGTATTAAGGAATATCCACATCCTCCACATAAAGCTGACCCCCTTCGCAGTTGTCAGGCTTACAAACATCTCTGTTTTCTTCCCTTGCCCTGACTGTTTTCTCTCCCTGCTGCTGAAGTGATGCTGGTTCAAAGCCTCAGCACCTGAAATCCGGTGCCCACGGGCAGAGCCCGCAGCCGGGGCACGGGCAATTGCAGGAGGAGAACCCTCTGCAAGGCACAGGGCAGAGGTGCTGGCGCAGAAAGGGGGTTTAAATGCTGCAAGAGAGGACAAAGAAACAGCAGCCACCTCCCAAACCTCCTGCAGGCAAAGCGGGAAGAGTTCAGAACCGAGGGGAGACTCACCAGCGGGCAGCCAGGCGAGGAGCAGCAGGGGCAGAAGGCCACCAGCCAGCCAGAGCTCCATGCTGTCTGCCCAACGGCCACGCAGCGATGATGCTGGGTCTCTGGTGGGATCGGCTGGCACGTCCCCGAATCTCCCTGCAGGGTGAGGGTCGCTGCCCAGCTGGGGCCAGCTGCAGCCCTGCCGGGAGCTCACCTCCTCACTGCTGTGCCAGGCAGTTCCCTCTGCGCTCGTGGGCTTGGTCTCTCTTCCTTCCCCTTCTCTTGCTTCAACCTGATTTTTATTTTCGCTCTTCGCTGCTTGATTCCTCCTGCGATTTCTTCCTGGCCACATGCCCTTGGCCCTCTTCCCACGCTCTTTCTGATGCCCAGTTCCTCTCTGCACTCAAGTCTTCCTCTCCTCTTGCCTCATCATTTGACACATACTTGTTGCTTCCTTCCCTTTCACTTCTATTCTAGTTCTCACGTTTGCCTGCACCGATGAAGTTCATCGGACACAAAGTGAATTCCTTCATACTCTCCTCCCATCTCGGAAATGCTGGCACCAAGGATCCTAGAGTGAGAAACACCAGAGGTCATGTTCCAAAGTCTCTGGTGCAGAAGATGGACAGGAGCCATCTTGCTCCACGAGTACTGCACATAAGCACAAGCCTTACTGAGACTGCCCATAGCAAGTTGGATCCTCCACTCCATTAGGATAATTTTCTACATTCTGACTAGGAGAGGGGGAAAACGGGAAGATTGTTAACGAAGCTCAGTAAGAACAAGCCAATGATAGCAAAAACCGTGAGCCTTTCCCTTTCCAAGCACAACCTCCTCCTCCTTCATGGACCTGCAGGCATCTCGCCAGCGACCGGGGCTCAGCAAGACCCTCTCCAATGGGCAGTGCCTTCCCAGTCTTCCCAGCTGCGGTGCCAATGGGACTGAAGGTTCATGTCTTGCCTACTACTGACTGCACAGAGCTCCTCTCCTTCCAGAGCCCCTTCCAGCTCCACGGCAACATTTCACGAGTCTCTGCAAAGGGGAAAGGAGAGCAGGAAATTACAACACTGCTAATAACACAGGGGGTTATTGTCAAGCAGCTACACCACGCTCTATACAATACATAAAGCAAGACGGAGGCTGCAGAGTTTCTCAGCAGCTCCCTGCTCCCTTGCCAGGAACCAGTGAAAAACAAAAGGTGCTCAGGAGCTCCTGCCTGATGTCCTGCCACTGAGGTCTTCCTCTCCCCACTTCTGCAGCACCGTGCAGCCTGTTGGGAGCTGGAAAGGAGCCTCTGGGGCAACACTGGGAAAGGATGAGGAGCAGCGTGAGGAGGTCAGGGTTGGAAGGGTCCTTCGGAGATCATCTAGTCCAACCCCCTGCCAGAGCAGGGTTACCCAGAGCAGGCTGGACAGGATCGCATCCCAGCGGGCTTTGGATGTCTCCAGAGAAGGAGACTCCATCACCTTCCCGGGCAGCCTCTTCCCGGGCGCTGGCACCATGACAGTCGAGAAGCTCCTCCTCCCATTGAGACGGAATTTCCCGTTTTTCCAGCTTGTGTCCGTCGCCCCTCGTCCTGTCGCCGGGCACAGGTGAAAAGAGTCTGGCTCCATCCCCCTGACAGCCGCCCTTTAGATATCGACCAGCACCGATGAGCTCGATGGAGCACGGCGGCCGCAGAGGGGCTGCTCTGGGCCGGGCAGACACCGGCCCGCGGCGCCCCTCGGCGAGGCCGCCCGCAGGAGCGCCCCTGGAAAGGCGCTGGCGGACACGGGGCTGAGGGGGAGCCCATGGGGGCAGGGCAGAGCAGAGCCGGGGGGTGTCGACGGGTCCCAGCGCTGGGACCCCGGTACGAGGGAGACGCCGCGAGAGGGACCGCAGCATCCCTCCCGGGAGCGCCTCAGTGAGATGACGACACGCCGCGCCGACCTTCTACTGGCTGCTGGAGCTGTCCGGCGGCTGAAGGCCCGCCCCCGCGGCCCTGTCCGGCGGAATGATAGGCCGCCTTCCACGCGGTGGGGGAAGTCGCCCTGGGCGCCGCCATTTTGGAAGCCGCTGCCCGGCGAAGGGGTGGAGCCGCCGCGCTTGCGCGGGCCGGGCCGGGCAGGGCG